ATGGCAGCTGGCCCATTAGGAGTACTGCCCACATGCAGTCAAACCTGAACCTCATTCTGGCACGAGATGTAGCCGGGCTCATGCGCAGGCGGAGGGTGTAGTGGTCCAGGCGCTGGTTGCTGAGATTACCCAGGTACTTGAGCTGGACTTCTCGGCGGCGTACTGTTCGCGGGCTCTTATCAGCCGACGCGTATAGCAAAGTAGGAGCAGGACCACCGACTGAAATAGTGAAATCACGCCAAACTCTTCCGACGTGTAGTGCTCTGTGAAGGCGCCGTGCGCGCGGTTCTGCCACCGCTGTGTCGCCAGTGCGGGTGAAGCTGTGGCGCTTGCTGATGCCCGTGGTATTCAAGGATATGTGGTCGCCTTTGACTTGGGCCTCCTTGGACCACGGTTCCAGCGCATGTTGGAAATCGTCGATGCTGACAGGGGGTGGCGCAGCCGCGCCAAAAGGTGCATGGGTCAGCGGCTCTGTCCCATGTCCCAGCGTTGGCCTCGTCGATGCCGGGGCTGTGGGTCTCAGCGTCGTCCACGGTCGTCTGGAGCTTGTTGACTGATTCTCGTAGTTCTCGAGTGGCCACTTCTGTGGCTGATGTTCTGGCTTTGGTGTCCTGCAGGTCTCTCTTGGTTCGTTCATGCTTGGTGTTGAATTCCGCGGCGATGGACGTGATGGAAGGCAGGAGCTGTGAGCAGGCGGACTCCACGATAGACTTGGCGATGGTTTCAAACTCAGCGGCACGAGTCTGGACCTGCGCGGCGAATGTTTCCTCGAGCTGCTGTCGGTGGTGAACTGGCGGTTCTTGGTCCTGTCGCCAGGAGGCAGCATCGAACCACGGGTTGGGACCCCGGCCATCTTTGTCGCAGGAAACACCTGACTAGCTTGTCGCCAACACCTGGCATGGCGAAGGCTCACAGCTTTGAGCCGTGCGACTGAGCACACCTCAGGATATGGAGGCCGCATCACACAAAAACACGAAACCATAATATGGAAGTGGGCGCCCGCAAACCCGTGATTGTTGCGGGAAGGAGACAGAGACTTGCAGCGGCCCAGTGGTGTCCATGTGACACCGCTGGGGTAAAATCATTTTGAATCAAAATGGCTACGGAGGAGGAAAAGGAGGAGGATGAGGATGAGGATGATGATGAGGAGGAAGGGGAGGAGGAGGAAGATGAGGAGGGGGAGGAACATGATGATGATGATGATGACGATGATGATTCTGATGCTGATGATGATGGTGCTGATGATGATGATGCTGATGGTGATGATGACAATTATGATGAGTCGCCCTCTCCGTCTCCTCTCCTTCTCCCCCTCCCTCTCCCCCTGTTCCCCCCGATGACTTCCGATGGCTTGATCTTTCAATCCGCGGGCCCCAGAGGTCCCGACTCCTTCTGGGAAGGTATTTTTTCCGCACTGGGTGCGTGTTTGCGGGCCCCAGGGCCAGAGGCCGAGAGATAAGAGGCCCATGGTTGATCATTTCATCTCGTTGAAAGGCCGGGATCAGTCCGGCAGATGTCTGGTCCTGCCCTCTCCATTTCCCTCCCCTCCCCTCTGCCCTCCCCTTTATCGAGGTCCCGTCCCTTCCCTTCCCCCCTTTCCTCCCTCCCCCTCCCTCGCCCCTCCCCCCTCCCCCCCCTCCCTCCCTCCCCTCCCCTCCCCCTCCCTCCGTTCCCCTCCGCCCTCCCCCTCCTCCCACATCCCCCATCCCCCTCCCTCCCTCCCACTCCCTCCCTATTCCCCTCCTCCCTCCCCTCCCCCCCCCGCCCCCTCCTCGAGGTCCACCGCGACCAGCACCTCCACGTAGCAGTCGTGGACCTGCGGGGCACCGCCACGCACGCTGCGCATTGCCCCGCGTCGCGCGGGCCGTAGATGTCTTCGATGCCGTCGCCGTTGCCGTCGTCGTCGCAACCGCCGCCGCCGCCGCCGCCGCCGCCGCCGCCGCCGCCGTCGTCGTCGTCGTCGTCGTCGTCCGTCGTCGTCGTCGTCGTCGTCGTCGTCGTCGTCGTCGTCGTCGTCGTCGTCGTCGTCGTCCGTCGCCTGCGATGTCGTCGATTCCGTCGATCGTCGATGCCATCGACTCCGTCGATCCCGTCGATACCTGCGATGCCGTCGTCGTCGCCATCGACGTTGACGTCGAGGTCATCGTCGTCGTCGCCGTCGTCACCGTCGTCGTCGTCGATGCCGTCGTCGTCGTCGTCGTCGTCGATGCCGTCGTCGTCGTCGTCGTTGTCGTCGTCGTCGTCGTCGTCGTCGTCGTCGTCGTCTTCGTCGTTGTCGCCGTCCTCGTCGTCGTCGTCGTCGCCGTCGTCGCCGTCGCCGTCGCCGTCGCCCTACCCGTCGCCGCCGTCGTCGCCGTCGCCGTCGCCGTCGCCGCCGTCGCCGTCGCCGCCGTCGTCGTCGTCGTCGTCGTCGTCGTCGATTCGATTCGATTCGCGGGGCCATGAAGGCGATTCGTCGTCGTCGTCGTCGTCGTCGTCGTCGTCGTCGTCGTCAACGTTGATACCGCCGGAACCGTCGAAGTTTGCGTCAATGCCGTCGTCGTCGGCGACAACGGCGTCGATGTCGTCGTCGTCGTCGTCGTCGTCGTCGTCGTCGTCGTCGTATTCGTCGTCGTCGTCGTGCTTGTCTGGCGACCTGCGAGCGGCCATGGCATCGCACCTGCAGCACGTCAAGGTGCTCCATGGCGCGCTGCACCCCCGACTCGAGCAGGTCCCAGCTCGCGAAGACGACCGAGAGGCGTGCGAGGTCGAGCACGTGCTGACCCGCCTCGGGTGTCCCTGGCCCACGGTGCCCCCCCGATTCTCTCCGCTGTCGTGGCCGGCTCCCGCCCCCGCCTCTGGTCGGTAGGAGAGGGCATCTTGGTAGTAGCAGTACGAGTCAGGGCAAGAAGAGGAAGTATGCGAAGGTGAAGAAGAATGAGGGTCAAAAGACTAATACGATGACGAAGAAGAACGCTCGCACGAAACACATTCAGACAAATAAGTATGCCGAGTAATACTCAGGCGAGTCAGAAAATTACGAAAAATACGAAAGACACATCTAGTCATAACGATGATGATGCTAATACTTGACTATGAACACGAATGATAATAAGTGGGCGACGGAACATAAGGAGCTGCATTTGCATTCGAATACACTTTCGGAGAGGCCCGCGTGGAACTCCGAAAGCTATTATGCTTGTGCATGTGTTTCTTCTCGACCTGGGGTCCTTTGGGCCTCGTGAGGGGTGCTCTGGAGGCCCCTCGGGGCCTCTCGGGTGACCCATCGGTGGTGGGAAGTGGGCAGCGGCATGACGTAGGAAGGCACTGAAGGCAGGAAGGGCAAGGGACAGGTCACTCGACGATTGGAGTGGGGAGGCGCCCGCAATGAGCTGGAACCTGGGAGCCCGCAAATACCCACTTCCAACAACCGAGGGTCCATCCTCGGGGGCGCCCTGGGCCGAAGACACCTCTGGCACCACACTGGGGCGCCTGGGCCCCGTCGGTCGGGCCGTAGAGCACGTACGCCTTCACCTCCGCGGCGGCCTGCGCCTTCACCCCCGGGTTGTGGGCGAAGAGGGCCATGGGGAAGAGGGCGGGCTTCGAGTATGCCTCGGGGGAGGAAGAGGGTGCCACTGCCGCTGCTCGTCCAGGAGAGCCCTCGTCGCCACGGCTGGATTCCCCTCGAACTCCAGGTCAGAACGCACCGCGGGAGAGGCCCTGGGAGTACAGTCAGAATCCACAATGGGGATGCAAGGCGAGGATGCAGGACCCTTGGAAGTCCCATTTACCATTTCGAGCTCCCTGGACGTCAATATTGGCTCAGGATGGGCCGGAGAAGCAGGGACGCAAGGGTGCGGTCAGAAACTTTTGGATAGCGTGTCGTTGCGGCGGCGACGGCGACACGCTATGCCCTGCAAGCGGATAGCCTGTCACTCCGCTACACAGGGCGGGAGGCCGGGCACTCTTCGGGACGTCGAAGCCTGGGGACCTGGGAAGTGGATGGCGTGCCGCGCCCAAGCGTGGTGGGCCAGAACCGGCGGAGCGGCTGTCCCAACGTGACCGACCGCAGCCTTGATGAAGCCGTCGGGGGGGGGGAAAGGCGAGAGGAGGATGAGGAGGCGGAGGAGGCGGAAGCGGATGCGGATGCGGATGCGGATGCGGAGGAGGAGGAGGAGGAGGAGGCGGAGTAGGAGGAGGAGGATGCGGAGGAGGAGGAGGAGGAGGAGGAGGCGGAGGAGGAGAGGAGGAGGAGGAGAGAGGCGGAGGCAGGCGGAGAGGAGGAGGAGAGGCGGAGGGGAGGAGGCGGAGGCGGAGGAGGAGGAGGCGGAGGAGGAGGCGGGAGGCGGGGAAGGGAGGAAGGAGGAGGAGGCCGGAAGGAGGAGGGGAGGAGAGGAGGAGGAGGAGAGGAGGAGAGGAGGAGGGGAGGAGGCGGAGGAGGCGGAGGAGGAGGAGGAGGAGGAGGAGGAGGAGGAGGAGGAGGCGGAGGCGGAGGAGGAGGAGCGCATCTTCATTGCGGATCTTGTCTGTGGCGGTATCCGTGCACTTTTTTCTCCCTCGGACGGGCCTCTCCGGCGGGCCAGTCGGCCCCGCTGCCGGCGGGCAGGCTCAGCACGGCCTCCATCAGGCGCTCCTGGGCTTGGGTCGGGCATGTCCTCCTACAGGCACATCTTGGAGGACAAATTGCAACAATAGTCCAACCATCTGCAAACATGGCAACCAAAAAAACATCACAAATCGGCCCCCAGACTATTTGTGGACTAATTTTTGAGTGCTCCCCTTGTAGGGGGACCGGCCCATGATCCTGGGCCAGCTCGGCCTGGGCCAGCAGCAGCTCCAGGTCGGAGTCCACCTGCCTGGGAGGGCACAACGGCGCAGGCACGAACCCTCGGAGCTCCCCGCGCATCTCCTGCATCGGCGCTGGCTCGGATCCCTCGTATGGGCCTCGGGGCACGGCGGGGGGTCCAGGCCGGGGAGGCCCATGCAGGCCACGCCCGCTCGCCTGCGTGCTCCCGTGCTGCTGCTGTGGAGACGCCCCTCCCCGGCGCGCGGAACGCGCCGGGAGCGGTGCCGGATATCCGCCGCCAGTGGGCTCCGGCGCCGACCCAAGAGACCCGCGCGGAGCTCCGAGCGTCTCTGCCCATGCCACTTGTTCTCGCTCGACCGCCTGATCGGGTCCAGCTCGTACATCGACTTGAAGGCGTCGGCCTCCGGCACGAGGTGCTCCTGGATGCTCCGCCTGGCGATCGAGGCCGGGGGCGCCTTGAAGGCGGCGTAGGCGGGCGCATAGGCGCTCGCGGCCTGCAGGGAGGAGGGAAGCCCTGACCAAGCCAGGGCGGAGGGGGCGATCCACGGCGAGGAACTTCTGCTCAGCGTGCCGCGGCGGCGGTCCCCCCGCGACACGCTGTGCCCTGCACGCTGGTGGGGCGTCGCTCCGCTCCGCGGGCCGGGAGACCGAGACTGGCTCGGAACGTGGACGCGTGGGGACCGGGAGACGCGGCTGGCGTGCGGCGCCGCAGCGTGGCGTGCCCAAACCTGCTGCGCGGCACGCTGACCAACACTCGAGCCCTTGCGCTTGGCTGAGGCTCGCCCTCCGGGGGGGATCCAGGACCAAGCCCTGACACTCGGCGCCGTGACTTCTTGACAGCGCGGCTTCCCAGAGGTCCGAACATCTGCCCGGGTGCCGGCGCTTCACCCCTGAGTCGTTTGATGACCGGCCCCAGGGCCCGGTAACGCCCCCTCCACTCCCAGAAAGTGAAGACTGCAAACACACCCGTCGTGTTTCTCCCGACGCGAGGATGTCTTTAAAAGGGGCCCTGGGACACACAAAGCAAAAAGACACAAATCCCAGGATTCCCGATATCTTCAAATATTTTCAGGGTTTTCGTCTTTCCCCCCCACTTCCCATATTTTACCATATTTTCCTGGGAGTCGACGATCAAGTGTGTCTGTGTGTTTCTTTCCCTCCTGAGTCTTGTGAGTCTGGGGGGCTCCATCCACAGGCCTTTGGAGTCCCTCGAGGGCCCCCTCCGAAAATGCCATCCAAGGGTGCGCGGCCTGTGCTTGTGCCGCTTCAGTTCCGCAAGCCTTCTTGACCAGCTCCCGAACAGCTTCCATCTTCCTCCCCCTCCTCCTCCTTTTCCTCCTCCTCCTCCTCCTCCTCCTCCTATTCCTCCTCCTCCTCCTCCTCCGCCTCCTCTTCCTCCTCCACGCTCCTCCTCCTCCTCCGCCTCCTCCTCCTCCTCCTTCCCTTCCTCCCCTGTGCCGACGCCATCCGTGACAGGGGAAAGGGAGAAGCTCAGGTCACGTACGGGGATCCAGTCAGAGTTCCCTGAAATCGAAGAGCACCCCTGATTGTAAACACTTTGCCCAGAATATGGCTGGGCGACAGTGCCTTAGAATCGTATGCCACTCCCTGTTAATGGACAAGCATTGGCATCCGCCCCCTGTGCCTGAAGCTAGGATGCCCATCCATGTTGATGAACAGGTATGGGCACCCCGCCTTCGCAACGAGGGTTCTGACGGGTACAAGGAACTCTGACCCACCTCAGTGGCCGTGGGACGGCCATATTGCTGTTGCGGGCGCGGCAATTTCCGAAGTGATGGTGATGGCGTTCAGTAGGTACCGGGTTGGCCTAGACGCCCATCCCTGTCGAAACACTAGCATGGTGTTCAATTGCGAGGACTTGGCCGCGCAAGCTTCTCGTGTATGGCCGCGCCTTGGCGCCCTCGTGATGCGTGAGCCGCTGCGTACACGTCGGTCGGAAGAAGTAGGTAGAAACATGAAGTAGGAAGGCGGACAGAGCATACTGAAAACAACACGCAGCAAAAGCTTATCGGTTCTTGGAGTAGGAAGGCGCTCGAACTATCCTGGGATCTGTGAGTCCAAAAATACCTACTCTCAACGACTGGCATGTAAGATCGCTTTGTCCCCATGCGACGGTTTGACGGAATCATCGTGCTCGGTGGCGCTGCGAGGCAGACTGGTCCGCTCAGAATCCTTTCGGGTAGAGCTAGGATGCCCATGCCTGTCGATGGACAGGCAAGGGTCCTGCGATCTGACCCACCCAAATCGGCAATCGGCCGTGGGACAGCCGTACCGCCTGTGCGAGCGCTGCAACCTTTGATAGTGAAGATGTCAAATCGACGCCGCATTAGTCTGGATGCCCATTCCTGTCAAGGGGCAAGCATTGGCACCCGCTTCTCGTGCCTGAAGCTGTGATGCCCATCCTCGCCGATGGACTGTCATGGACATCCCATCCTCGCGATGAGGTTTTCGGCGGGCATCCCGGAGACTTGGCCCGCCTCGAATTGCCGTTGCGAGCGCGGCAACTTCGCCACTGACGGCGTTCTGTTGGCACCGTGTTGGCCTTGATGCCCATCCCTGTCGATGGACAAGCATGGGCATCCGCTGCTCGTGCCTGGAGCTAGGATGCCCATCCCTGTCCTTGGACACGCATGGGCACCCCGAGCTCGCAAAGAGGGTCTTGCTGGGCGCAGGGGAATCTGGCCAACCACAACGGACGTGATACGGCCATGCCGCTGTTGCAGGCGCGGCAACCGTCGGTGGTGAAGACGCCAAGATGGCCAGGCGTTAGCCTGGATGCTGCCCGTCCCTGTCAATGGACAGCATTGGCACCCGCTCCTCGTGCCAAGAAGCTGAGACGCTCATCCCTGCCGATGGACAGGCACGGGAACCCCGCCCGTGCAATCAGGCTTTTGCTCAAAATCTGAGAGATTGAATCCGCCCCCGTGGCCGTGCGACGGCCGTACTGCCTTTGTGGGCGCGGCAAACTTCGACGATCATTTCGTTCGGGCATTTCCTTCCAGTCTGGGCTTCCAGCAATCTTTGTTGGCCATCCCCGTTCGGTGACATTCCCGACCGCATGCAGTAGCATAGACAAGAATCAGGTGGAATCTCGGTGGGAGCCAGTGGAAGGATTCTGTGAAGATCACCCGGCGGGGCCCTTTCGTTCTACACATTTGACAACACTGCACAACGGAACGCTGGAACCGAGAGCGGTAGACTGCTCTCGAGGATGTAGCCACCCGTATAAACTATGGCCCGCATCGATTTCTGCGAGACGGCCATGTTGCCGTCGCGGGAGCGGCAACTTCACTGCTGCAACGTTCAAGAGGCACCGTGTTGGCCTGGATGCCCGTCCATGTCGATGGACGGACATGGGCATCCGCTGCTCGCGCCAAAAGCTAGGATGCCAATCCTGTCGATGGGCAGGCACGGGCATCCCGCGCTCGCGTAGAAGGTCTTGCTGGGCACCAGGGACTCTGGCCAGCAAAGACGGCCGTGAGACGGCCACTGGCGCGGCAAACTTCTACAGTTGCGGTGTCAAGGCGGCGCCGCCTTGGCCTGGGTGCCCACCCTGTCGATGGACAGACATCGGCACCCTCCCCTCGTGCCGAAAGCTCGGATGCCAATCCCCGTCGATGGACAGTCGTGTGCATATCCCGCCCTTGTGGCGAGGGTGTCGGTGGGCGTCCGAGAACCCCTGGCCCACGTCAATGGCCGCCGGACGGCCGCCTGCCGCTGCGGGCGCAGCGACTTCGCCATCGACGGCGTTCCGTCGGCACCGTGCCGGCCCAGATGCCGACTTCTCTTGGCGGACAGGCACTTGCATGCACCCCCTTCGCGTCGAGAGCTGGGAGCGCCCACGTCCGTCGACGGGCAGGCCATGGGCCTCCCGCCCTCGGCACAGCGAGCCTGTTGTGCCGAGCACCTGAGCACTCCGGCCCGTCCCGATGGCCGCATCACCGTCGCGGGTGCGGCAGACTTCGGCGCTCTTACGTCGGCGGTGGACAGACCTCCCTTTAGCAGACCTCACCTTAGTGACACCGGCCTGGGACCGAAGCCGACGGGCCTGGACCCGCAAAAATGACGGCCGCGACGCCCTCTGGCGAACCGAAAACGGCCAATTCACTGATCGACGTGTCAGGGTAGGAGGCCTGTCAATCTCCGATTATGCCTTGCGGCGGCGCCTCCTGGCCAGGGAGGGCCCTCTGTCGGTGCCCCATCGGTCGGAGGGGGCCTGCGGGGCGTTCTGCGAGTGTGGGGGCCACGGCGTGCGGAGGACTGGTAGAAACACCTGGGCTTTGGTCGGGCGTGCCCCCCCACCGGCGGGTCCTGGTAGAGAAAGGACCCACCGCCAAAAGGCAATCAAGCAGCGTCAAAGAAGCGCGAACAACTCGTCAACAGAGTAGTCTCTACTCTTCGGGAGTATTCCTCCCGCAGAGGGACATGCCCGACTTAAACTCAGGCCGTTCTCCAATTTGAATACAGTCAGCCCGTATAGGAGGGGTGCGCGATGAGGATGCGCGGGCCTTGGAGGCCCATCTCGAAGCTTTTCGAGCGGGGCGCGGCCAACGAGAGTGGCCAAGGATGGACCGAGGAGGCAAGGATGCAAGGGGACCCTTGGGAAAGTTATCCATCCTTACTGCTCAGGTCGACTGTAACATGCCTTCAAGGGGGGTGCCCCTCAAAGCGCGTACAGGGTTGGTTTCGTGGCTCCTCCCCTGGCCTGGGCAGCTGATTGACAAAAACAATGCACTTACCGACTTTGAAAAAATGCTGGTTTCGTGGCGCTCCCTGAAGGCTACGGCGTGCGGTGGGCTGCCAACAAAAAGCCTAGGCCCGTAAGTACCACATTTGAGGGACAAGCCTTCCACGAGGAGAGGTTTAAAGCAAGTGAGAGCTGATTTCGTGGCTATCCCCTGCCCTGGGCACATGATGCAAACCACGGCCCTTACCAACTTGGAAAACAACGCGCCTTCCAGAAAGTGATTTTCAAAACACGTACGGTGTTGGATTCATGGCGCTCCTCGGAGGCATTCCATGACCGCATGGTGCGGGACTTAGTGCTTCGGGCAGCATCGGCTACTTCAGGAGCGGGAAGGAGAGCACGCGCCCCGCGAGCCGCCATCAGGCCGGTTGCGTTTGTTTCCCCAACCCACAGCCCTCCCAACGCGAGCCCTTCGACCCCTCTCTCGCGCACGCGCGAGGTTCATTTCGCTTTGCGCTTTGCGCGCAAGACGCTGGAGTATAATTGGATGCCGCTGCCCTTGTGCCCCAGTGTCCCGACCGCCGATTCTGTAAATTGAATTGCGAGATGGGGCAATGGTTTGTCCGCCCCATCGTGTCCTCTTGAGTCGAAGCTCTGTAGTCCGCTTCGGGCGGAAATGCTGGCAGTTCTGCGCAATGCCATGTGAGTTGCGGCTTGCAGCTTGTGCACGCCTTGCACGGGCACCGGTGGTTCGTCGCGCTAGCGTGCTGCAGGTAGAGCCTTATAATCACCATGCCCATAGTGAGCACCCACGGGGGCCCGCTTGTTGAAGGACGGGGCGAGCAACAGAAGCAGCGTGCGTAAGGTCTCCATGTGGCGGTGTCCCAGGTTGAGCATCAAGTCCATGGTGGAATGCAACATCAAGAAACTGCTCATCAGACTATATCGCGGCAGATGCACCGCCAAGCATAAACACATCGCCGCTTCGAGACAACTCAACTGCGACCACTAGCGCGCGCGAGCCACAAAGAAGAAGCCAACAGCGTCACCGACTCCTAAGCGGACGTGGCCCTAGAAAGTCGAGCGTGCTCTTCGGCAACAGCAAACTTGGAGGTCGCTCTGAGGTGGGAGTACTTGCAGCCCTCGCCATGAGAACATCGAAAATGATACTTGAAATCAGTGTCCGTAACAATCTGCGGGCCAACACCCAGCACTTCAAGGTAGTGCAAGTAGAACACCTTTGGCGAATCAGCCTCGGCCCCGAGGCGGACGACGCCAGGAAGATTGCCTTCATTAGCGCGAACGGTACGCGCAGCAGCAGCTTCAGCTCCAAGGAGACGCGCAGAATCGTGAGAAACATCTCTAGGGTCAGGAAGAGCTACGCGACACTTGTGGGGGTCAACGGCAGGAATATGAGGCCCAGGAGGTCCCGCGCGAACGCCTCGAAGACGACCCTCAGGGGTACCACCAGCAACACCGGCAGCAGGGCATGCACAAACACGGCGGTCCTGAAACACAGCGAGCTCGTATTCGAAATCGATGCCAGAGGCGAGGCGGGCGGCAAGATCATGGTCGTGCACGTAGCCATCAGAGGCGCCGATCGGGCAGGCGGCGTCGAAGGATAGCTCTGAGGAGCATCGCGCCAGAGAAGGGAGCCCACGGGAGCCGATCCAGCAACACAAGCGGTCGGGTTGGCGGTGCCCGCGATGTCTGGGCCCCCGGAGCCCGCACTCGGGCAGGCGGCGGGACACGCAGCCCATCGGCGCAGGCAGGGCCTCATCGCTGACGGCACTGGTAAGGGTCAAGGGCGGCGGGGCGAACGGCCGGGAGGCGGTGCTCGGCGGGCGAGGCAGTGGCAAAAGAGCCACGGCCGGCTGCGAGAACTCGGCGGCGGCAGCGTTCCGTGGCGGCGGCGCAGCGCGCAGTCCTGGGGGCCAAGGGGACGCGGCCATCCGGACGAGCAAGGCACCAATCCCCCGAGGAAGCAGCTCTAGGCAGCGGGGCCCGATGTCTGAAGCGGCCGTGCCGCCGATTTTCACTGGGAAGTCCTGAAGAACGGGGGGCGGAAGGTGAGGGGCAGCACCACAAATGGCCTGGCGCAGCGTGTGCGCGGGTTTCCCACTAATTCCCTGCAGTCGACGATGGAATAGGAGCCCACGAATGACCCCACGGACATGCGCGTGAAGTTCCGCTGGTACACGAACGTTGCGATAACCATCAGGGTCTCTCCAGAAAGCCCAGCGCGCGAGCACGACAAGCACGTCGGACACGGGCAACATGCGACCGACAATGCGACACAGCGTCACCAGGTCCCGCAACAGAAACGGCCACCAGCCAGCACACGGCAGCGAGCGCAAGACGTTGCATGCATGGGCGAGCGGGACGTGCGAGGCCGCGACGTAGCATGGACTTGAGCCAACATGGCTACGGTAGGAGAAGGAAGATAAGATGGAGGAGGAAGACCTTTGTACACAAAAGACTCATCAATACTCATCAGCGATGTTGCCATAAACCATATTTACACATTCCCTCTTCACAGGTTCCTGCAACATTTTTTTCACTGAAAGAGATGCCCCGTCGGAAGGAACCCGCCTGGAAATCCTGAACCGTGCCAGAGAACCATTCCTGAGACTTCAACGCCGCGAATAAACGTTACTGTTGCGTCCTGACGATCCTGAATCGTACCGTCAAGCCATCTCTGGGACTTCAACACCACGAATCAACGTGACTGTTACGCCCTGGCAGTCCTACACCGTTCATAACATCTTCTTTTGGGACGTCAGCCATACAAATCCTTCGACTTAAACTCTTAATCAACACTTTGTGCGGGGCTAACTCGAGAACCACATGTTGAAAACGACCCGCCCTCACCACATTTTGAAAACGACCCGCCCTCCATCCGTGCAAACTTTGAGGACGAGTGTGCGCGGCGCTAACGCGAGAACCGCATTCTGAACACGACCAGCACTCCATCCGTGAATCTCTTGCAAACTTTGAGGACGAATGTGCGCGGCGCGAACGCAAGAACCACATTGTGAAAACCACTCACCCTCTGTCCGAAGCTCTCGCAGATTTTGGGGACGAATGTGCGCGGCGCGAACGCGAGAACCGCATTAAAGCAACGACCGGCCCTCCATTCGTGAAGCTGTTGCAACTTTGAACTCAACGATCAAAATCTGTAGGAAGTCTCAGACGAACGCCGGGCACGCCCTACCGACACGTCTCGGGGCGCGACAAGGATGAGTTATCCTTGCCATCGCTAGGACGTCCATTGCGCGTGCTTCTTCCGGTTTCGTGCGTGCTTGTCTCTGCTGCCAGATGATCCAGGATGCTCCTGCATGGTCCTCGCCGAGAACAAAAGGCACACGTCCGAGCGATACCACGTCTCATGGAGGAGGAGGTGGAGGACGAGGAGAGGGCCTGCTTGAGCAGATCCCCCAGCGCGCCGGTGTCCGCGGCCGGCGCCGCGAGGCCCTGGGTCCGCAGCTCGACGGTGGAGAGCACGGCGGCAAGCGCCGGATCTCTGGCGCGCTGCGGCCCCTCGGTCTTCGCGGCGCTCTCC